GCTGACACCCTGGATTAGGACTTAGGCTAAGTTTAACTGCGGGAAAATATCCCTAAAAACCGCGGGTAACACCGCGGGGCACAGCCAGTAAATAATACATAAGTAAGAATCAGTCCCCAGACTGTAAGTAAGTACAATTTTTACGTGTCTGTGCCGAAATTGGCCCACAGCACAAGTAAGCGAGTATTAAAACGATCATTGTACACGCTAATACTACTCGATTATCTATATTTTGTCCATGGGAAAGTAAGTAAGGTCTGGCAGTCTTGGGATCTCACTCTATTGGGTTATTTAGGATGTCAGTGTTTGAAACTTTCAGGTTTCTCATATCAGCACGCTATAATACTTTATTAACTTGCTATTAAGTGCATTATCAATATCTTACCATCATTTTCAGAACATTGAAAAACACAATAATTTTCAACCAGTATATCGGCTTGTTCCAGGAATATTCGCTTGTATTTTAATTCATTCAAAAGTTACGAAACACTAAAGGCGCAGCTCTGATTAATTTCAGGACATCAGTCAACATCACTTTTAAAATAAACCGAAATTGCTGATACATGGTATTACGCTTCCTAGTTCCTACCATAAAATACAACTGCTAGCTATACAATATCTGCCACTGCAATCAAGGAAGGTTACCTAGTGACTAAAGCTGATGAGAGATATGCTGACTCGTTGTATCCAGTTGGCAAGCTGCCCGGTTACGATGGTCATCATTCAAACGGGCACCCTCCTATATCTAAGTAACCAACCGTGTGTCTTTATAAAGCCCTTCTTCTATTATTCGTTACTTAACTAGAATCACAAACGTCTTTTTCTCACAGTGTGAGATGTGTATTTCGTATCCGACATCGAATGGTTACTTTGGATTTCCTCTGCAGTCGTTCAAACAAACCAATGTTTTGGTTGGCATTCCCCATTCTTTGAAACCATGATTACTGCTGATCCTATACTAATTGGCAAAATAAATTAATGTCAATGGTAATATTCAGCGACTGACTTTCGTAAACTGTTAAGGTGTTATTGATGACCATGCATTTTTGAAATATATTGAAATATTCAAAACAGTAGTAGTGCTTGAAAATTAATGAACTAGAGGGAAAACAAACTTTTATTCCGCGGTTCTACTTCTAATCTTCAAGGTCTTTTGCTTGCTTCGATGCCCACTTCAATCATGTATGTTACAAACAATTTGTACTGATTCAAGAATATGCTTTTGACATGAAAACGGTTATCGCCAAAATAAAGAATAAGATTAGAAGGATTACAAGGTTGTGTCTATTTATGTAGGTACACGAATTGCGAATGACATTACATAGTTACTTCCAAAATTGGAGGAGTAAGCAGCATAACGTTGATTAACATCTTCACTGAAGGGACAGTTTTACCATTGACAATAGATTTGTTTTTCTAAGAAAATTAAGACTAGGTACGCTTGTGGTAAAACAATATATGTCTAAATATGTCTGTGTCGTTGCCGTCTGTCGGTCCTGCGGGTTGAGAGGCATCAGGTGCTTGCAATTCCGTATAAAATGGCAATAAATTCGGCATACACCATTTCTTGCTATTGTTTCCGAATGGAATATTGAACATATCTGTTCCATGTTCCACTAGGATGACTGTTGTTTTGTATTTTGGTTCATGTTCGGTCGTGTAGTTTTACGAGATGACCCTTCTGGGACGAGTGAAGGTTTCTATATTTTGTAAGCTGTTTGAAAATGCTCAGGAATAACTGCATATGCATGGATAAGATTTTAACATCTCGTTATGCTTTGTTTCCTTCTTTGTAATTGTAGTGATGAACGATTTTTTTAATTTATATATAATAAATGCGTATTACCATTATATTAGCAGAATCCGATTAACAAAATGTTGATGAAAAATAGCAGTGATCGGTTTAGTTAGTAGAGAGTCTAGTTTGGTACAATTTATTTTAAATTTACATGCGGTGTTCCACATAATCCTGTCCGTTTTTTTTTCTTTCTATTTTACCTTGTAGCTATATAAGTTGAAATAGTGTTACCTGGTTTCAGATTAGAGGAGCATTCAATGTAAAAGTTTTGGACGTGTATTTTAGGTAGGGCCTCAGCAGCCGGCCACGGAGACAGTTTTCAATTTGTTTCCCTGTCACGCTCTGAGTGACGTCGAGCGACAAGCCCGGCTCTGGAACGAGTTTATCGTTTTTTTAGTACCTTCGTCTAAGCACTTGCTTATTTACCTACTCGTTTATATAGTTTTTGCAGTCAGTTGCTTGTTAAGCGAGTTTCAGTATAACTAGCATACTGCTCGCTCTAGAAACACAAAAACACCAGAAAGCGGTGTTATCTTACTTTGCTTTCTGGTCTTCTGTATCAGAGGCCCAAGCAAAAATTTTGACAGCTCCGTAATTGTATAGTCATCGTCAAATTTTGTATGGAAGGAGCCAGTTTGTTTGCTTTTGTCCGGCAGGGACGCTGCTTAGATTTCATAGAAACATTGACGATGCGATACAATTACGGAGCTGTCAAAATTCGTATTTGGGTCTCCTGATGGTAAGGTTCTAAGCCTCCCCGGGATTGGTTTTACGCCGGTTTACAAAATGATGCCTGGATTGGTACATTTCCCCCTAGTTTTTTGGGGGTCCAGGATTTTGTATAAACGTAATAAAAATAAGTAATGTAATGCAAAGCTGATGTGCTTTTTAGTATATAAACAGTAATCAACGGATCCACAGTGAAGAACTTCATTCATGGTCTCAGCAGCTTCAGATCTATACGAAATAAACACTAACCGCCTTATTACAATCACTTTTGTTAGCTTAGAAAAAGACAGAGACAACATTAGGTTTTAGCCAAGACTAACTTTAGCCCGCGTTTTGGAATAAGGGAAGTCTGTATATGAACTAGAATATAAAGTTATAATAGATGTAAGTTTTAAAAGCACGACAGAATAAATATAATCACCTACTGGTATAGCCCGCGTGCTTAACCTTGCTTACATTGTGAAGTCTTTTTGACCTCGTTTATTGAAATGTTAACATGACATGTTGTGTGAAGCCATATAATATGAGTTAATAGCTGGCAGGGAGCCGCTTGCTCTCCCCTTTTTGATCCTTTGATGCTGTGTCTTATTGTGTAAAATTGAAGAGCGTAATAAAACCTGCAGCAGTAATCTTTTGGAAATCTTCAAAGAAGTCACTTCTTTGTTAATTGAATAACTAATAGATGATGAAGAATGTAAAAAAGAAAAAGTAGATATGCCATGACATGCAAGCTTATTTACTTTTGCAGTATAAATAAGTAAGTGTAAAGGGATACTGTAGCATCGGAAACATTCGAGGAGATTTGAAAGTATACTGTGTTATGTGTAGTGGGCATGGACTTGCATTTAATTTGGAAATTGACAAAGTCAAGTGCGCTCTAATATCACAGCGTGATTCGAAATCAGATGGTTCGTTGATCAATCAAAAATCTTATGTTTTAGCCTTTACAAGCTCACCAGGGCACATGCTATTGAATAGTTTATTTAATTAGCTCAGCGCTTCAAATTCAGAAATTCCATGAAGTTACCGAGTTTTTTTAGAAATCCATGAAATGACTACACTAGGGATTCTTAATGTATCAGAAGTTTTGAGAACGCGATACTGGTACTGGTCCAAATGATTATTCATTTCAACCTTTTTCTTAAAATCAAATTATATAGAAGCTGTACGAAAATTTCTCTCTCCGTTTGAACTATAATAAATACGTTTAACTTATTATGTAAATCTGATCTGCAAAAGTCGTTATCGTGAAATGATTGCTTTTCAGAGATGGCGTAGGTATGTACAATCGATGCCATAGTAATGAATACACCTTTACTACGAATACAGCGTATATTGTTACTTGGCGAAGGCAGTGTTGATTTTAAATCGTTTTCACTGACATGGTTTTGACCGTACCTTGCAGGTAGGGATTGGAGTGTAGGTGTTATAGATCACGTTATATTAAAACCGTCGTGAATGGACCCAGAATATTCATCTTGGTAACGTTGAAACAGGAGCCCCTAATATTTTTGGACTGACGTATTCCCAAGTGTACATCGTATACATGTTGGGATTGATCGTCCTTTATCAGAGATGAGCCGATTATGTCACAAAAGAAATGCCATTTTTCCTTTTTTATTGCCATGTTTTTGCTACCATTGATTGTGTTGATACAATAAGTCGGATTCAACCTTTTTAAACCAGTATTGTGACTTTAAAGTCTAAAATAGGTAAGAAAAGTGATTGAATATAAAACAAACAATGAATTTGCATATCGAACCCTCATATCGAATGAGGGATTTCTTAAATAAATAGAATATGCATACGCGCAAGCAATAAAACCAAGACATCAGCGGCCGGCCATAGGAGAAAAAATTACTCGGTTCTCGTTTAAGATTGTAGTAAATAAAGAATACTTTTACAAAGTCATTTGATGATACAGCAAGCACAGATCAAACTCCACTAGGTCCAGGTTTCGGACGGCATTCGAACCCACATCTTCCGCTATCCGGGCGGATAGGATTTTTTAGATTTAAATATCTAGCTAAGTTATTTGCTTAAAATATAATAAGTGCAGATCGGTTGTAATTGACAGATAAACTCGTTTTACTTTATAAATTAAAGACACATCCACATCACAAGTTTACAATCCATAGAATGAGACGCGCTTCCACATACGCGGGGACTTCCTTTCACATCTGCCAGTTCATTTTGACAGCTGTACTGCCGAAAGTCAGTTAAACAATAGAGACGTCGCTTAGTGATTCGTTCGGTTATTTCCTCTAATACAGAGTGATTCTTAACCCTTTAGTGACGAGGGACTATTTATTAAAATTTCCGTCTTGCTACGGATCACCAGTTACGATTTGCTACGGATCACCAGTGGACCCTTGGACTTGTTGTTTTGATGTACTGTGCATTCTTCCATATGTAGTAATAGAATACTTCGCGATGCCATTGCTTTAATAGTTTGGTTTTTGTTTACCAACAGGTTCGGGCAAGTCGTACACCATGATGGGGGCTCCGGGTGCGGACGAAGGCGGTATTATCCCCAGGCTGTGCGATGCGCTCTTTGAACGGATTGCCGTCCAACAGAATCCCCCTGCGCTCACGTACAAGGTGATTGATCCATTTTTTATACGAGGTAAAACAAACTACCCCGCTTTGGCTTATTCTAAAACTTTTTAGACATTTACAGTGTATAACTAAAGAGAAAATTGCATATTCATCGATGCTCTTCAGAACAAGTATCTTAGTGGCGTTATTATAAAGCAGTAGGGGATAACTAAATCACCGAGCTGGTGATTATCAATCACTTCCATCTGTCAAAAGCAGTTAGCGAATAGGCTCACTGATGTTAAGTGTAAGTGGACTCCAGTTGCCAAGATAAATGATGCGGCAGAAGGTGGGCCGCTCCAGCCATCCCCACCTTGCCGGCCTGAACCCAATTCCCTACCTCACGGAGCCCTGGAACTCTATTTAGCAGCACAAAAACACCACCGAAAGGTAGTGTTCTTTTACTGTGGTTTTCTGTAAGGTGGTGGTTACTTTCCCAGACGGGCGCTCTTATTCGAGCGTAAAATCCGCTAATCCGCAAATCCCATAATGATTCCTCATCTTCATATATTGATTTTGTATATGAATGTAGTTACAGTCATATACATAGATTAACGCCAGTGTATGTACATCGCGTAATTCAATCATTCACAAGGGAGAGTAAGGCTATATTTGCGTTTTTGATACCGGACGTCAATCGTTATTAAAACAAAATGCCTAATTGCGGCATACCACGCTGTTAAATGAATATATTTGGTGTGCTTTTCATGTGTGACCCATGAAAAATAAGCAAATTAAAAATCTTCATTTTGTTGATTATACAAGGCCTTCATTATTATTATGTAGGTACATAGTTGACATTCGTACGTTTAAGTGTTAGAAAACACTTTATAGCCGTGAAGAAAAACATGTATCGAACTCTGCGAGCTATAACAACCGTCTGAATAGCTGTATCATTGCTAAACATGGGCGGTATATTGCGATAGGATATCACAATAACAAACAAAGTCGTGTTATCATTCCACCTTAAGTGACTATATTTATTTTTATTATGACTCTTATTAGACTTTATCTAACTTTATTATTTGTTTAGACGGCTTCTGCTCTCTCATTCATGGTCTTATATCTTATTGGAGGTTAACGCCCTTTTTAATGAGTTGGCAACTCGCTGAATAAAGTTCGTAATACCTCCAAGTAATTAAAGCAGAAATGCCGCAGCACTTCCACGATTTAATGGTTTCTACGATACGTTATTTGAATAATAATGAGATTTTATCTCGGTTAGTGGAGGAAAGTTTTATCCCTCTGACAAATACCCCAATGACACTATTGATCACAAGAGAAATGACAAATTCCGATGGAAATCAGTCTATAAAAATGTTACAGCAAGCGATATTCAACCTAATATGAAAAGTTTTCTGTAGACACAATAAAGAGTTGGGTAAAAGTAATATTCTCTGGCTCTCGATGCAAACGCGACGAATTTACCTAGCTGGAACACTGGAAATGCAAATTTCCTGAAAAGAAAGTCATTAGAGTTCTTTCTTTATTGGGTATAGACTTTTTACTGGATGAATAAAATTGCAAGCGGAGAAGTTTTTATCTGTATTTATTGGTCTAGACAACGTTATCTATACTTATAATAAATCTGTAGAGAGGTCAATTCTGTACATGAAATATATTTTCAAAATAACTATCAGGGGGTGATAAGTGATCGAACCTGATGCCAAAAATGCAATCAGTAAAATTTTTGTCTGTCTGTCTGTCTGTCTGTGTGTATGTTCCTTATAGAAACAAAAACTACTCGACGGATTTTAACGAAACTTGGTACAATTATTCTTCATACTCCTGGGCAGGTTATAGTATACTTTTCATCACGCTACAATCAATAGGAGCAGAGAAGTGAAGGGAAATGTTGGGAAAACGGGAGAAGTTACTCCATTTTTTAAGCTTCCGTCGCGGTTGCAGCCTTAATGGTTAAAGTTACATAGTAATCATGTATGACGGAAATATTCTACATAAAATTGTCTAAAAAATATTCCGCAACAGCATATGTCTCTATCTTTTATGGTTGACTCACAATAACACGTGTAATTATATAAATAAAGTCATTGTTTATAACACAAGCCCGAGAACAAAAACTATAGTTTACACTACATCTCTACACCGAAGTGAAGCGAGGGCGGGCCCCTAGTCTATAATAAGAGGTCATAAACAGGTACTATTACAATAAATAAATAAATAATTAATCTACCCAAATTACCCTGACTTTGTCCTCCGACTTTTTTTGGAACTCCTTGTGCTATCTTTCTGAAAATATTGCGGCATGATTCAATATACTATCTCGACCTTCCCCGTGCGTCGGGAGGCAGGTTAAGGTATTGGTCCCGGCTGCAATTGCAGTCATTAGTACCCACTAATCCACTGGGTCATATCATGACCCGTCCTCCCTATTCTTGTACATAGGGAAACCCTGTATCCTTGGCTGTGGGGACACTATAGTTTCCCGATGGTATAAACTGGTTTTTAATGCGTGCTGTGTTTCAGGTGGAGGTCTCCTACATGGAGATATACAACGAAAGAGTGCACGATCTCTTAGATCCAGAAACATCACGAAGATCGCTGCGAGTGCGCGAGCACGCAGTCCTGGGACCCTACGTCGATGGGTTATCACAGCTCGCGGTCGCATCTTACCTGGTAAACACATTGTATATATCTGTCGGTACTTAAAACTTATCACAATTATTACTTTGATGTGAGGGATGTGTACGCTGAGTTTCAAAGTGTCGCCTACTCCGAGGATGGATTGACCCCGCTGGGGCAAAACAATATTTGTATAATATAAGAGTATTTGTTACTACGTCTTGGATTTAAATATGTATTACTAGATAAAAATAGTTATACGTGTATCCGTTACCCTAGTAACTCATGACACAAGCCTTAGTGCTTTCTTTGTGGCTAGACTAATTGGTATGAGTGTTAGAAATATTTATTTATTTATCAAAATTTGTACGAATTCCGCATTATATAACAATGAAAAGAATTTGACAAGGAAATTTTTTGTCGTGTTTGAAACGTAATGAACTTCTTCTGTACTCTAATGATCTTGCTCAAGTCACAACCAGGGTTTATAGTTTAGTAGTATCCATACTTACTGTTTCATTTCACCGTAAAGGTCAAGGCGTTCTGACAACGTAATCGCTGTAGTTTGACACTTTAAATCTCAATAAAACAGTTTTTACGGATTATATGCACTGAATTTATTTATTTATTGACGTTTCGCACCCTTTTTAAGAGTGCATCATCGGAATAATGATTTTTATTTACTTTGTCGAACTACCTTCAAAAGACTTTTATTGAGCGTTCGGATATTTCATTGGAAGATATTTAAAACTTTATTGTCTATGCTTGAATTTATTAGCTAATTTAATTTATAAAGTAATTTAGTTAATTCATTTTTATAATTTTGAGTTTATTTCACCCTTATTACGCTAAACTACCACCGGTTCCAAATAAATTCAAGTTTTATTTAATAAGTGATGTGCGTGAAAACCTAAGAAACAAATATCTTTATAGCTAAGTAATATAAAAGTAAAGAAGACAGCTATTTGTAACATTTGATTACCTTAAAGTACAAAGTTTTTCCAGAACACTGTTTATATGATATTATTTATGTACTTTCAAAAATATATTTGGCGGCAGCAATCAAGCTCTTTGCCAGATTTTTTCTAAAGTTTATTGTTACAATATGAAATTCCAACGAATGTTGAAGTTTGATTATTTTTAGATATTTTTTTTCTATTGATGTAGCGCCATAATACTGTGAGAAGGTTTCGAGGTTCGGCAGTAACGCATCATCAATTTATATGTATTTAAATAAAAGTAATTTTCTCAAATATGCTTGGAAAATTTGAGCATTATTTAAATTTGGTACGGGCTAGCAATAGAAAGCTGTTAATTGAAAAAAAAACACAAATTAACGTTTTAATTTAACTGTTAGATGTTTAAATCTAAAGATAATTTTACTTGATGTTTTTTTTTACTTACTAGGGTAACGGATAGAATACATATACTGTACATTTATAAGTATATTTATATAGAAATATATATTAAACATCTATGACTGGAGTACAAATGCTCGTATTCATCACACAAACATCTGCCCCCACCGGTATTTGATTCCGGGACCTCTCGAGTCGGAAACACCATGAAACCCGGCGTACAAACCTCTCGGCCACGGAGGTCGTAATGTGCTATATTCGATAAATGTAACGCTTTGTAATCCATAGTTTCCTGTGCATACTTTATTTTTTTATATTATCTTGTACTCAGGTTACCTGCAGCATACAAAAGCTATCATTACATCTAGTGGCGTCACTTACACTAATCAAGAATTTCTATAAGAATTTTTTTTAGGAAATGTAAAGAAGATTGCTCATATTGGCCCAAATGCACAAAAAATTGACATACACGGTAATTCTTGGCGTAATTTATAATTTAATTTACAGTCATTAGATTTCAACGGACACCTTTGTATAATATATTTACTTAAAAAAGGACTTTTAATTTTACCGGTTTGGAAAACATACGAATCATTTTAAATGGCTATGGGTGTAGTAACATTCAGCCAAAGACTGATCGAAGTTGTTTATATAACATACAAACAAATCTATTTTGTAAAGATCCGTAAAATATTTTTTTTTTTATTACACTGTGGTATTAATATCCACAACTATATTATCATTTTCACTACATGCAAATGTGCTCAGACAATTATTATAGATGGTAGGCGACATCATGAAGTCTATTGCCATACATTTTTCGCCAAACACCTCCATAAACATATTATAATCTGTATTGTACGAGTATGTTAGACTTTAAGGTACCTATCTATGGGCCTAGGTTCCCTGACTATAAATTAATAAATAAATAAAATTATAAGGTGTGATACACTAAAAATCTAAAATATAGTTATCTTAAAACATAACAAAAATAATGAAGCTACTGAATATATGGCTATAGAACCTAAATTTCTTAGCTTTCTTTGGTTAAAGAGAGTTTAAATAATCTCTCTAATCTGTGGCTCATTCACAATCATCACACAGTTTCTGTCACAGACTACCATTATAACCGGAAATGCAATGACACCTGATTTTAAAAGTACTCTTATGCATTAACTTTAAAAACAGGCAACTATCTGTTAATCTACATGCTCTATATACCTGAATCTAATCCATAATTCGGTACTTGGCTTTATTTCCCTAGTTTACTATATCGATACTTGTAATTTCAATTGACGTAAAGCACAAAACCCGACTTTTCAGGAGAGCCAAAATAAGTTTTTTTTAAATTACTTAAATTTATTACGCTTTTATTTATACAGTTTTATAAAAAAGTGAGGTAGACAAAATATTCCTAAAATCTTGTGATGCAGACGATGAAATATTTAGTTTTTAGTCTAGTTTGTTATTTTAGAAAATAGATGTGCCTTACATCTAGACAAAATCATTAAAATGTTCTTTACGTCCATTTTTATTATGATGTTTAGATGCGTTTTGGGCGTAAAGCTCAATTGAAAAAACAATATTCTCTACGCCCCAAAAATTAATGTTTAAGCGTATTTATATTGTCATAGTACACAGATGTAAAGCTAATAGAAAAAGTTATATAATCTTATATTTTGAATTAAAGAAGTAATTTTATTTATTGATTAGGTGGTGAAGTATACATAGCCTACAAATCATTTTAAATAGCATGTGTTGCCTAAGGCTTAAAATAGATAACTAACAAGTAAAAGAATAGTCTAAAGAATAAATTGTATTTTTTTTTTGTTTAGAATATCTTAAACATATTAGAATAGGCAATCATCAGCGTAGTACTAGGTTACTTTGGTCATATCGCCCGGAGAAAGCCCGACAACTTAGACAGTATAGTTGTTATGGGATAAGTAAATGGTAAAAGACGAAAAGGTCGTTAACCTGTCCGTTGGTTAGACTAAATAAAAGACAACCGGATTCAGTCTACCGACTGCCCTAAGACGAGCCGAAAATAGAGTGGATTGGAGAGACCTCATCACCGTCTCGGTAGAGGCAATTCAGGAAATTCATTTCCTTCAGGAATGAAGCCTTGAATGAAGAAGAAGTCAATATTTAACAAAATAATAAAGTTTCTTATGTTCAAATACCTAAATTGGTTAATTGATTCAGCAGGGGAACTAAGGAGCCGTCAATATGTTCTAGGCAACCAACAGAATTTATCTAAATGATGTATATTTTAGCATAAGCGTCTGAAATATACCACTTTCAGTAAAAAAATGTTAAAACATTACTGTAAGTCTAAGATCCCAAGAGAAGTCGTCCTTCATCCATATTCTGCCTACCAGACGAAAAGAACGTTTGTCAAGTAGTTTTTTAAAGAAAACAAATCGCAATTTCATTCCCTATTAATATTGTTCGAGACATTAAGAAAAATGAGTAAAAACATTTAGTTAAACAAATAAATGGGTTTAAAAAGTTAAATTCATAAAATATTCTAAAACTATAGACGTAAGCCTCCTACGCCAATTTTCTAACAAAACATGTTACCAAATCAAGTTTTATCCAATCGCGCCGTTAGCAAAACTGTTAGGCCACGCCACTAAACGGTTAGCAAACAATGTTATAGTGTTAGTAAACACGAAAACACGGCGCAGGAGACCCAGCTTAAAGCTTTATTTTTAGCTTTTTGATACAATGAAGGTCCTTTGGGTGGGTCAGTATACCAGCTTGCACCCAGCACTGCATACTACATACTTTTGTTTGATGCTGCTGTATCGACATTCAAAGTTTGTTTTGTTTGTCAAATTATTAATTGAAATAGAGTTCAAATTATATTTGTTGTGATTTTATTAATAGGTTAAAGAACAAAATCGATGATGATCAGCTATCACCTGAGGAACAATATAATATTATTCGTCTCGGGTATACGTTAGTAAGGTGGCGACTGTATTGACATTAACACTTAATCAGGTAACACACAATAGCTACTTTAAAATATATTTATTCGCACAAAATTAAGTAAAGTAATTACACATAATTTAAAAAAAGTGTGCTTTACGCCCTTTTATGTTTACAGAGTAATCAAAAACTTTGACTTAAATCACATTTAGCTTAATATATAGTAAATTGATGGGCGGTTAAAAACAAAATGAAATTATGTCGTTCCTTACGTTACATTTTCAATGTGTCTAAAATGTGGGAGACAAACGAATAACAAGAAATAATATGTCAACAAAGGCTAGTTTATCTAAAAGTGGACGAGAGATGTTAGTTGCGTGTTACAAGTGTAAATCAAAAGTTCTCACAAGAGATTCTATTCTATGCACAAAATGTGGAGAAAGATATGAGTTTGACTGTGCCGGGTTATCCGAAAAATTGTACCGTTTAATGAAGCCAGAATCTAAACGGAAATGGGAATGTAATACTTGTACAACACGACCAAAACTTGCTACTGTGATAAAAAAAACACCGTCTCATATCACAATTAGGAAAAAACAGCCGTTGGTAACGCAAAAACAAGTAATGGATATTTCAACATCTACACCTAAATCAAGCAATCAATTAGTACTTAAACCTAACCGCAGTGACGCACCAATCGAAAGTACCAATTCAGAGGTACAACCAAAAGACTTCTTGTGTCTTGAGAATAGTATATCTAAA